GAACCCTGGCATCTAAGTTGGCTCTTATCTGAGAGATTTTATCTGCAAAGAATTTATTAAACATGTCACAGCAGGCTGTCGTCAGATTAAGTAAGGGATTTGGCACAGGGGGCACCTGTGTCAGTTCCCTCACCACCCTAAACAGCTCTGCTGGACCAGACTCTGCAGGCGCAATCCGTGCAGAGGAGAAGGATCTCTGTGCTGTACATATTGCCTCTCGATAGGACCAAAGAAAGTTCCTATGGTGAATTCTGTCAGATAAGAGTCGAGTCTTCCGCCACTTGTGCTCTAGTCATTGTCCGAACCGCTTCATTTTCCTAAGCTCTGGTGTATACCATGGCTTACGATTTGAAGCTGATTGACAAGGACGCTTGGGAGTGATCGTGTTGATAGCTCTGGTGAGATCGGTGTTCCAAGTATTAACCAGACCCTCAACAGGATCACCGGCATTCTCAACCATTTAAACCCTTTAAGGCTTTCTGGAATCCCATTGGTTCCATTAGTCTTCAAGGGCAGACCATTCTAATAGGTCCACCACCCCTGGTGGGGTGGATACAGGCTCAAAGTTCTGTCTTGACCAGGCAATGATCAGTCCATGACAATGTGGAGGTACTGATAACCTCCGCCCATGGATATTCCTGTGCTGTACTAAAGATTGCATTGAGTGTATGACCTGCACAATGTGTGGGCCCAAGGACCAATTGGGATAGGTCCATGTTTGTCATGGTCTCCATGAATTCCTGAGCCGCACCTGTTAAACCAGTCTTGAGCAGAATGTTGAAGTCCCCCAAAACTATAAGTCTAGGGGACTCTAGCAGCAGCTCTGAGACCAGCTGCGTCAGCTCGGTTAGGGAGTCTGCTAGACAACGGGGTGGTCGGTAGACTAGCAGAATCCCCAGACTATCCCTGGTCTTCAGGCTCAGGTTCATACAGTCGAAGTGGGCTGTGTTCTGGACAGGTATCCTGGTCAAGGTTAGATTAATTTTGTGAATTAGAGCCACTTCACCCCACTGCCCACTTCGCCCCACTGCCCACTTCCCCTCACTTGCTCACTGACAGAGTACCCAGCTGGGAGGGCCTTCGCCCAAGTAACTGCACTAGCCTCTCCCAGCCAGGTCTCTGTAAAGCATGTCAGATCGGCATCCTCATCCAAGAGTAAGTCATGGATGACATGAGTCTTGTTCTTAACCGACCTGGCATTGCAAAAAGGCAGAGTGAGGTTCTGTGGAATGGAAAGTCTGTTCTCCAAACCATTCTGTGAACAGAGGGAACTGAAGGCAATCTTCTTTTGTAGCATTCGTTCACTCTGTTCCGACCATACCTCCTGTTCCCCCACACAACTCCAATAGCCGCCCCTACCTCCTTCCTGGTCTCAGGTGAAATGGTATCACTTTCCAAACTAATGTTCCAGCAGTGATATAATCTATGCCGCTACTGAGGAGGTATATCAGAGCTGGGCAAAGACTTTTCATCATAGACATAGGAGTCCAGATGATAATGGAAAGGGTTAAATGAGAAATTCAAAATCCCTAACCCAAGTCCTGATGGAGTTTTTAATATTCCCACCCTCTGTTGACAACACATCACTACAATCCCATTATAGGAATGGGCTCCTTGGCGTCTGCCCAGCCTTCCTGTGGCCCCCGATACTGCCACTGCTGCTGCGCCGCTTGAGGGAATGGAGCTGGGCAGGCTAAATACTCCCGCCCAGGACTCTCAGCTGCTACCACCACTGCCACTGCATCGCCGCACCACTGAAGGAGGTGGTGAGTGGGGCAGGATTCTTGGCCTTTGCCCAGCCTTCCTGTGGCCCCCAACACTGCCACTGCCGCTGCGGTGCTTGAGGGGATGTAGCTGGGCGGGCTAAATACTCTCAGCTGCTACCGATGCTGCCGCTGCGCCGCCGCACTGCCGAAAGAGGTGGTGAGTGGGGCAGGCTTCTCAGCCTTTGTCCAGCCTTCCTGCAGCCCCCGACACTGTTGCTGCCACTGCGCTGCTGGAGGGGATGGAGCTGGGCAGCCTAAATACTCCCGTCCAGGCCTCTCAGCTGCTACCATTTCTGCTACTGCACCACTGCGCCACCAAAGAAGGTGGTGAGTGGGGAAGGCTTCTCAGCCTTTGCCCAGCCTTCCTGTGGCCTCCGACACTGCCGCTGCCTCTGCGCTGCTGGAGGAGATGGAGCTGGGTCGGCTAAATACTCCCACCCAGGCCTCTCAGCTGCTACTGCAGCTGCCGCTGTGCCGCCATTCTGCTGAAGGAGGTGGTGAGTGGGGCAGGCTTCTCAGCCTTTGTCCAGTCTTCCTGCGGCCCCAACACTGCTGCTGCTGCTGCTGCCGTGCTGCTGGAGGGGATGGAGCTGGGCAGGCTAATTTCTAATGTTATTTGTTTTTTGAACTATTTTTATCTCTTGAATTATATCTTAGTTGGATTTCTCTTTAATTCTTTCTTTTTTTCTTTCAAAACTTTCATAAGGCTCATGACCTTTTCTCTTTTTTTCTTTTTTAATTCTGTATTCTGCTGCATAAGATGGCCTCTCAATACTGATTTACTTGCATCCTAGATTGTAATCATCTTCCATTCATCTGACATGTTTTCTTCTTTACAAAGATTAATTGTATTTTGGGTCTTTGTAATAATCTTTTGGTCTTGTAATAATTCTCCGCATAGTCTCCAAATGTATGGTTTATTCATTTCTTTTCATGTGAGAATTATGGGGTTATGATCAGAAATTGTTGTAGTTAATGTTTCTATTTTCTCAATATCTTTAATCATTAATTTAGATATGAAAAACATATCAATCCTAGAAAAAGAGTGATGTCTTTTGGAGTAAAATGTAAATTCTCTTTTTTGTTCATGTAAATATCTCCATCCATCATTCCTATGTCTTCCATAATCTTGAAAAAATATCTTAGTAGTTTTCCTTAGTTTATAGTGATTTTATTTCTTGATTTCCTATCCAGTTTTGGTTTTACTACTCCATTAAAATCTCCCATTATTATCATAAGTCTCATAATCTAATTCCATTAATTTATTTTGCATTTTTTTGGTAAAACTTTATTTTCTTGGGGGCAATAAATCCCTACAATTAATATTTTCTCTTTTTGCCATTCAATTTCTAATCATAAGTAATATCCCTCATTGTCTTTAAAGATCTTTTTTGCTTTTGTCTTCTCAGTCACATATATTACTACACCCTTTTTCCTGCTTTTAGGCTTATATAAACTCTTTTCCTAAGTATAAATTTCTTAGAAGTCTTTTGTCTTTATCTTTTATATATGTCTCTTGGAAACATATTAATTTTTAGGTTTTTTTCCCTAAGGTATGAAATACTTTTTTTTCCATTTTATTGGGGAGTTCAACCCTTTGACATTCAATGTTATTTTTTTCATCTGTTATTTTGATCAGGTGGTTCAGTAAAGAGAAAGACATTTATTGTAGTCTAATTTAGTAATTCCTCCTCAGTTAATAGGACTTGGTCTTTTTTGTCTCTTGTTTCTTCATCTGTTTCCTCTTCTTCCCTTTTTGCCCCTTCTCTGGTCTGTGTCTCCTCTTCTTTCCCTCCATTAAAAGTTTAATAGGTCATCCCCTACACTGTATCTTGTACTGTATTCCTAAATCATCATTATCTCTCTACCACAGACTGTAATTCAGTGGCCTTCATATTTGCTGACTGCCCTAGGCCTCTCACAGCATCCCTAGCTAGCTGAAATTCCGTTGTTTTATTTTATTTGAAAGCCATTGCTACAAAAAATGGGTCATGACTGATAAAGTGAGTTCTAATGAAAGTTTATTTCTTGGATCCAACAAAAAGTCATATTCTGAGTTTGGAAATTCCAGCACAAGGCTTTATAAAAGGTAAGAAATGGCTTGCTTAGGCTTTCAAATTTGCCTAAAAGCCTGTAACTTGAAACAAAGGGGTTATTCACAGAAAGAAAATAATCCAGGTTGATTTCAGGATGAATCTTTGTTGTTCACATTCTTCCTGAATGTACTTGATTAAGTTTTGGGGGGGGGGCTACAAACCCCCCCCCCCC